CTGCTCTGGAGTCCCGGGGAGCGGGGCAGCGCGAGGAGCCGGGGGCCCCGGGGCCCCACTCCATGCAGTGCTGGGCACGGCCGGCCGTGGCCGCTGGACCCTGGTGCCCTGGCCAAGCTGGAAGGGCGCCCTCCCCGCCTGTTGCTGTGGGGCACACGCCAGTGCCAGCGCCTGGACTGGCCTGGGAGGACCCCGGCCGACGGCAGCCCCAGAGGCAAAGTGGAACAGGCAGGCGCACGCTGTCCTCGGCCACAGACACGCCCACAGACACGAGCCAGCCCCCGCTGGGACGTGGACCCGGCGCGCCCCGCTGAAGCAGGACGAGAGGGCTCGGCAGAGCCCCGGGGACGGCCCTGGCCCGGAGGCCCGAGTCTAGTCCACGCAGCCCACGGTGTCCTGCGGGGCCTGGCAGGGCTCAGGGGCCGGCTGAGGCCCGTGCCCAGCCAGCCAGGGCGGCCGTGGGAAGCTGGCCCCGCGGTAGGAAGCTGGCGCCCCAGGCCAGCGTGGACGGCCCACTGCTCCCTGGAAGGGCTTCTCCCCATGTGGGCAGCGTCCTCCAGGCCACCTCACAGGGCCAGGTGGCCTGGAGGGGAGGGCAGCAGCCTCTACCCCCCACCTCTGGCCGAGGGATGGGCAGTGGGTTTTTCACAGAGGTGGACGGACGGCAGACGCCTGACCGGCCACTCGCCGGCCGATGGGCCCTCGGGAGCCGGCGGCAGGGGGCAGCAGTGCCCAGCACACCCTTCCAGAGGAAGACGCCAGGTGTGGCCACCACCGGGCAGTGAGGCCATGCCAGCAGGACCCGCTCGTGGGGCGAGCCAGGTAGCCCAGAAACAGGCTGGGGTTGGGGAAGTGGCCTCCTACGTCATGGAGAAGTGGACGGTCCAGCCCGGAGAAATATGAGGTGCACCTTCTCAAAGTTTACAAAACAATGTACTGTGGGCCTCCCTGGGGCACAGCAGTCAGTCTCAGGGCCATGAAGCCACTTGCAGCCACTGCAGCACGAGTCCATCACTGCCCAGGGAGTGACCACAAAGCACAGCAGAACTCTCCTGTCTCCCCACTGACCCCTCAGCAGTGAGCTTCAGTGGATCTGCCTGTCCTGCTCCCCACTCTGTCTCTGGGGAGTCCTCCCACACCTGCACCTCTGGTCTGCGCCCCAGCTCTTGTGCACGTAAACAAATAAGTCTTTAATATGTCTACCATATGGCCCAGCCATCCCCTGTCTTGGCATTTATGTGAAGCAAAATCACTCACTCTAAGGGGTGTCTGTACCCCTGTGCACAGGGCAGCACTACCCCCAACCATCAAGTTAGGGGAACCACCCAGGTACCCAGGGACAGAGCAGTGGACCAGCAAGGTGTGGCGGTCACTGCGGAATACTACGCAGCCATGAAAAAGACGGACGCCTGCCCTCTGTGACAACATGGAAGGACCTGGAGTGGGGCTGCTGAGTGACAAGAGTCGGAAGAGAGAAACAAACACAGTGGTGCCACCTACACGCGGACAGAGAGACCAAACGGGAACAGCCACACCGAGCCAATAACCGCCCCTGACACCTGCTACCCCCTTGTGGCTGTGGGCAGGAGGGGAGGGGACACGGGAGGGCCCAGCCCAAGGAGGGCCACGCTCGCGCATGAACGCATGGGTGAGGGAGGGAGCCCGAGCCCGGGGCCATGGGGCATGGCCAGCCAGCGGCACCTCCATCAAAAACAGTCCCCGCGGCCCTCCCTGGTGGCGCAGCGGGTTAAAGCACAGCACTGAGAATCTAAAGCC